AGAATTGTAGGAGACTTATCTCTACCTTCGCGCGTTGATTTCTTTTCCTTTTTAAGAAAACTTTTTTTCTACATGTGCTCTTTCTTACTAGTGAAAGAATGTAGCTTTGCAAAAAAAAATTCCTGGTCATCTAGGGGTGACCTCCAATTTTCCATTGTCACGTGATGTGGTGCTCTTCAGAAGGAGAAGCGTAACTAGTATATCAACTTAAGATCTTTCTATATCCTTTTGATATGAGGCTGTCTGGCACTATCGTAGCGTACTTGGTACCGTGTTGTACATGCTTGCGTGTGGCTTCTCTCGCGGGGTGAGACTCGCCAGACGCCAGAGTAGGGCTTTGCTACTTTTTCATAAAATCAAGTCTTAATTTTAGTCATCTACAACCTTTTTCCAATTAACACTTCATTTCATCACAGCTTGTATATTTTTCATTTCAGAGAACCATAATGTGTAGGTTAATTTCACATAACCCCCTGGAATTCTTTTGTGTGTGTAACCTCCCTAAACTTTGGCTTATCTAACACGACCCCAACTGATCTTTGGGTGTCTCACCGCACCCCCCCCCCCCCCTTTTGACCTTCTGCTCATCAAACACCCTTGCTTCTATTATGCGAATAACTAAAATATCGTTGAGTGGAAAAAATCCAAACTTCATTATCTTTCATTTACAGGCAACACGCACCCTCCTCTAAATTTTGGATTTTTTTTCTTTCTCTTAAAAAATTAATTATTTGTAAATTATATGGGGGTCTAGTGAAAAAAATTTCAAAGTTCTGTGGGGTTTTGTAATACACCTAAAGATCAAGGGGTAATGGGAGATAATCAAAGTTCAAGGGGGTTACATGCAAAACCCCGTTTGTTTTTAGCAGCAATAGTTCCTTATTGGATAAGTGAGCATCCATGAAAGTGTTTTACGCCTCCAAAATTCTGTCTCCTACTATTCTATTATTTTTCTAACATAATGGAGATTACCTTCATGGTTTAGTTTCAGCTGCTTTTAGTTATAATGCAGAAGGTCGGCTGCTTGTCCGCTCTATTAATTAGGCCATTTCCTTGAGCAATGGAAACCCTCTACCTTGTACGCACAAAAACAATATGCATGCCTTTTCTTATGGATAATATTGAGACAAAAATACACACAAAAAAGAAAAAAAGAAAGAAAGAAAAAGTTAACGGTATTACGTTTTCTAAGTTGAAAACAGATCCAAGCCAATTTTAAGGACGCGTCCAAAACCAACTTTCTAAATAATTCAACAATAATACCTCAACACAACTTCCTTTAATCCATCATTGCTCCTTTTTCTCTCAAATAATTTCTTCTGATCATTAATCCATTGATCTATCAATCTCCTTAAAGCTAAGTACTCAGTGCACTATAAACGCCATCCAACCTCAAAAAAAAAAAAAAATCAATAGAATGGCAGTAGAGTTCATAGTAATGCTGAAACTCAAGCTCCTCGCCGCCGGCCCTCCACGTGGCACTCCTCTGGCTCTTCCTCCTCAAGCTTCCATTGGCAGTAAGAATGAGGGGATCGTACGGTGACATCGTGCTGACGTTGAGGCTTTTCTTCTTTAGGCTTAACAGGGTGCTGGTGGGAGATCCACGGGCGAGGAACGGGCGGCGGTGGGAGAGAGCGGTGAGGCTGATTCAAGAGAGGGTGACTGAGGGCGGCCGGGCGACCGAGGGTAGCTTGCATGAGTTGTCCATGATTGCAATGTGATTGTGTGTTCGAGGAGGGTTGACGTCGCATTGTTGCTTGTATAAAGCAGCGTGTGTAGTTTTTTGACTTGTTTGTTTGCATGCGCGTGTTTTTTTCTTACTATGGATAATATCATGTTGTATTTCTTTGGAAAAAAAATTTGTAGGTTGTCACGTACGACCGTTATTGAAACCATTGGTTTTGTAATAGAGTTTGATTTTTCAGACGTCCAGGCACATATTTGCATTTGAATAGAGTTCTGTGTTGCCCAAAAAATATTTGATTTGTAAGAAATCCACCCCCAAACCCACTTACATTCAGCCTAAAATTCTATGTTTTCGTAGTAACCGTTTTATAAATACTAGTTTTTATGCACGTGTAGTGCATGTGGTAAAATATCAAAATATTTTTTATATATTTATTTTATTACTATAAATAAGTCGGATTCATCTTGAGTTCAAATATGTAAAATTGGAATATTAGATTTACTCTTATTTGTATTTAAATATTATTAAAAATACATAAAGAAATTTGAGCCCACCTATAAACGATTTGAGCAAACCCATAAAGAAATTTTAAATGAAACTCAAAGAAACTTGAAGATTTTAATCATGTACGCATTGCAGAACGTTGCAGCTGATAGGCAAAATCTGCAAGCGCACAGACTCGTTATAGCTATCAAGGTCGATCCCACAGGGACTAGGGTTAATTACCAAATTTCACGTTATTAGACTAGCTAAACTAATGAGTAAATTAGAAGAGATTTAATAAAAGAAATAAAATAAACAACTAATCGGATGGAATTCAATATAATGAAGGACTAGGATTGGGTTATCACCACAACTTAGGTGTTCAATGATGAATTATTTTAATTCTTGGTGTCGGTTTAATCTAGAAAGGGTGAATTAGCCTAAATTAATCTAAAGCCTCTTTCAAGGTCTAAAGATCGTGCCTAATCAATCTCAATTAACCTACTTTCGTGGAATCAAAATTAAATTAAACCCATTAAGCTTTATGCTAATCCAAATCAAATCCCCAAGGAATCTAGCCTACTTTCGTGGTTCGAGCTCCCTGCTTAATTTCTAGAGATCTGGTATTAATCTTCACCTTTCAGTCCTTCAATTAATTACCTATGATTGCTAATACGGTGATCAAGCGAATCAACAAAATTAAAACACTAGAAATTAAGTTTAAAGATCTAAACTTTCACCAAGAACATATATTAATTCATCATCAATCACCAAAAAGTTGGGTTCTTTCCCAACCCTAGACAAGAAATCTACTCACACATGATTGGAATAAGAGAAGACATCAAATAATTATGCAAATCAATCATAAGAAGAAATAAATCAAAGAGAGGAAAGAATTAACCCGTCTTTCAATTGAAATCTTCAAAATAAGAACTTGCAATCCAATCTTCTACAAGAGATTAATGTCTTCCTTCAATACTTGAACCCTAGAATAGTTGCTAGTTGATGGCTAAAAGAACATAACAAAAGATATCCAAAACCCTAAGTCAAAACATCTATTTATATGTCCCTAAAAATCTGGAAAATAACTAATTCTCGCGCCACGGGTGTGGTCTGCACCACACCAGGGTGTGGTAGGGGCTGTTTTGCTGATTTTGTGCTTGTTTCTTTAGTTTTCGGTATTTTGGCTATAACTTTTGCGTCCGACCTCGGAATGAGGTGATTCAAGTTGCATTGGAATCCTGTTGAAGAGATCTACAACTTTCATCTTTTGAGTTTTTCTTGATTCAAACTGCATCATGGTCGAAATTCCAGTTCTTCATACTCGTGCATCCATTTTCTTCACGAACCATGCCTTCAAAATCTTGTTGTTGCTTCAAACTCTTGTAAAACTTCCAACGATCATCAAATCTTTTAATCTTGAGCCAATACCTACATATAAGAACACAAACCACAGCAGTATCCTCGATCTAAACACGAAATATGCATTAAATACTCGTAAATCATGCTTAAAACACACTAAGATAATGCATATTTTACGTGTTTATCAACTCCCCCAAGCTTAGACTTTTGCTTGTCCTCAAGCAAATAGACAATAAAAATTAGGAGGAGTGAAAGCCAAATAGAGTAGGGATCACCCCCTCATCAATCCTTTAACCAATATCAAACATATCACAAAACAAATACTTTTCATCGGGACTTAACAAATTAATTTCCAAAACTCTCAACAAAATCACATTTCAAAATTTATTTACGATCACAAGCGTCACAAGTCAAGGATAGCCATCCTCTCCAATTCTCAAGTCAAAGTAGAAAAAAGAAATTCATGTAACTAGCTTCAATCCCAAAGTACTAAAATTGAGACCTTCAGGTAGTTAAATTGGTAGACCTCACTTTAGGATAAGTGGACTCTCAATCTCTCATGTATTTAAGGATGGGATTGTATCGCTCAAAATTCTTCCGAATGGATGTATTCAATCCATAAGCTTGCATTTCATCTCAATTCTCCACCACTTCGAAAACTAATGCATGCAACAAAATCATGAGGTCTTTTATTTGGTTGTAATGGGGCTAGGGTCAAAAGGGTAAGATATATATTTGGGATTGTAGTTGAAAGCCTATCACTAGTGGAGCGATACTTGTAAAATATTTGATCTCAAAATAAGATCAATGAAATTCAAACAAACTCCATCATCTATTAAAGAACTTCTTCCAACTACTCCCTTTAGTACGCCCTAATGAATTCTTTCGACACCCGCAATTACATACACCATAAAGACGACACTTTATTCATCTTTTTTTTTCGAATTAGTATTTTTTTTCTTTTTTTTCGAAAGAATTATGAAAAGGACATTGGAAGAATGACGTTCTTGAATAGATTCACAACTACTTTAGCATGGTTGGTGGGGGATGCTATCGCTTCTACCCACTTGGAGACGTAGTCCACCGCCACTAAAATGAACTTGTTGTTACACGATGACGGAAACGGTCCCATGAAATCTATGCCCCACACATCAAAGACCTCAATTTCCAAGATGGAGTGTAAAGGCGTCTCATGTCGCTTCGAAATATTCCCGGTCCTCTGACAACTATCACAAGATATCACAAACTGTCTTGCATCCCGGAAAAGACTCGGCCAATAGAAACCTGATTGTAGAACTTTTGCAACTGTCTTTGAAGTGCTTGCATGTCCTCCGTAGGAAGATGAGTGGCAATGATGGAGAATACTGGCAACCTCATCTTCAGGA